TTCGGTACTAACATCACAATGTATTTGGCCCTTTATAAGCAAAGGAGCACACATCCCAATACACATATATATATAGTAATGTAATGATAAGTAGTGGTAAATCCACTTTTACCCAACAAAACAAAATATATTATTCACTGATTTCACTTTATTTTCCCAGTTTATCTTATATGAAACTTAAAATAAAATTCATATTACTAGACATTTCTCTATAAAAATTATAAATTCATCGGTTCACATTTATCTTACATCGTTTTATACTAAAAAATAACATTTTTACTACAAAATTATAGTATGTCACAATATACAGATATTAAAATTAGAATAATTTGATAAAAATAGAATATTTTCAGAAAATCTTAGGACTTGCTTGTTTATGAGTTAATTTATTAACTTTTATCTCAACTCAAAATATAACTTAACTTTAACTTAACCACACTATCTTTAATATTATATAATTAATTAACACAAATTAGTTATTCTTACACATCACATCAACTTTAATTCACTATTCATCCACTCACATAATTTTAACTACCTATCACTTTCCAGAAATTCTATGGCACCACATGTGGCACCATATTATGGTGCCACAACATGATGTGGCACATTATGATTGGTTTTCTTTTATCACACATCAACCAATCATAATGTGCTACATCATGTTGTGGCACCATATGGTGCCACATGTGGTGCCATAGAATTTCTGATCATTTTCAATCATTTATCACTTACTTTTACATCAAATTAATTTTAATATTTTATTTTAAATATTATTTTATTACATTCTTAAAATTTCACCAACAATTAACTATACTACATTTTTCAAAATTAATTATAGTTAACCAAAATAATTCATTTTGAACAAATTATTTCATAAAAATCAAGCCTTATAATTTTATATAATATTTGTTTTTTTATTTCTGGGAATAAGGAGCGTGAAAACGAGACAAATGATCGCCAGTCACAATCACAAGTTAGGTACAATTTTACAGAAGTTAAGAGCTGTCTCTGAAAATGTCAGAAAATTGGGGAGTTGTTTGACTTATAACTTAACTTGATTTTTTATATATTTTTTTTTCAATTATTGTAATCATAATATAGACATGACCACGGGCCGGCCCACAACCGACCCGTAGATTGCCGGTTCCGAGAACCAGCACCGTGATTTTACGGGTCGTGTCCGATTCATCCTTTTTTTTTACCGGCGGTCTGAGACCGGGCTGGTTCCACGGGCCGGCCCTTGGTTTTTGGTGGGCCGGTTAAGGGTCACCCATGGTAGGCCCCCAGGCCGGGTCACGGCCCGTTGACTGGCCACCTCTATCATAATATGTTTTTTATAATCAAGAATTGTATCCTTTTTTAATTTTTTTATGAGTTTGAGTTGTGACCTAAAGCAGCATAGCACCTGTAAAAATAAGGTAATTATTTCACTCTAACAGTTGGTACAAAAATACAAATTGTTCCAGCAAAGAGCCCCAACACACTTAATTTACAAACAAAAATACATAGTAATATCAAAATAAATAATGTAAAATTTAGA